GTGACTGTCTCGACAAAAATAAACAGGGACAAGTAAATAGAGTGAGTTTAATGTCTACTGGAACTAAGTGGATTAAATGTACTGTACTACGCGTCTAATGGTCTACATATTTGGTGCACAACTAAATGTAGTGAGCACCAAATGACAACACTTCTGCTCTGCATTAAAAAGGGGGTAGTCTACTGTGTAAGTGTAGGCTATTACAACTAGAGTCAGGCTACCATATTTAGTAGCCATACCTCATATTTGTCTGGTCGCGTCCAAGATGCCTAGAAGGGAACAAACACAGAGGAAGCAAAGACAAACAGCGACACAGAGGAGCAAAGTGAGCTTTGTGCAGACTGGATTTACCTGCAGGACATGTGTAAAGCTGTAAGGACTAGACCTGCGATTTTGAATGTTTTAGCTCATTGGCTCCAAATAAATTGCAGCCAATCATTCTCCAGCACCAGAGTGCATTTTCTACCCTCTGGGTAGTTTTTTTTATTCACATCCATTGAAAAAAATTGCAGGGAAATCAACCTGCTGTGACTTTGGAATTGCTAGGTGAGTTAGGTAATCCATCACGATGAACTTTGTGTCTGCTATTGTTTATGCCACGCAACACTAATGTAACTTTGATCAAAACTAATGCAGACATAATGCTTACTGTGATAGATTACCCAACTCAACTTCCAGGAATGTGCATTGATTTTCATACCCAAGTGAAACAAATGGAAACCAATGCTTGCCTGAAAGGTAATTTGAACATCTACACCACAGCTACATGCTTTGGAAAGTGCAGCAGTAATGTGCAATATACATGATTTATGACCAAGGGGCTTATTAAACATGGATGCATACTGGCATTGTTTGTATTCACAATTAGCTAAACCATTGATGAGGATTACAAGGAATTACTTTCACATTGGATGATACTGATTGATTTTTCTACCAAGAAGTATTTATTACAATTATGATTCGGTCATCAATGAATTACACTTCTCTATTAAAATATTCACAACAGAGCATAAGCAATATTAAAACCAGACATCATTAAGTTCAAGGTTTTGTAAAAGGGAAAAGGACTATCGGGATTTCTGGCTTGACAGTTCAACGCCGTCAGGGAATTTACAGAACTGCTCAAAATGCCAAACTGGATTTTCTAAAGCAGCATGGGGGCTTCTCAAAGAATAATGAATGTACTGTAAGAGGAGAGAATTTGGAGGCACACTGAGAAAAAAACAGGGCTTTGAAACTAATTATGAGTGAGCCATTAGCTGTATCTACTTTGTTTTCCTAATCAGTGGCTTTATCATCGTGTTATTCTGTGTTTTGATCAACTCTTTCATGTATGTGCAGAAGACTGGTGAGCAGGTCTTTCATTGATTTAAGTAATTATACTCTTATGGTGTAAAAAAAGCATATGGTAAGAATGTGGAAAGAACCTCAGGAACACAATCACACTGAAATCCCTTCTTAAGAGATAATACCGTGATAACATCCATTATCATTTTTACGAGACAGTGAAGTTGTAAACGGATAGCGGCAGCCAGTAAAATGACGTTCTGTCATTTCACATCATTCTCAGTGTGTCTGTGCTTTTGCAGTCTTGCTGCTGTGATGTAGAACTAGAATGTGAATGGGAGACGGAGCATGGCAAACAGAAAACGGACCAATGATGCATGATGATCAGATGACAAATTAGTAACAGCTATCACCAAATGATCAGTGGGATGTTCTGATTAAAGCCTCATTGAATTTAAATTGATCCGACAGTGATAGATAGGAGAGGGAGGGACGATGACAGGCTGTAAATGGAAGAAGATACGGTGTGGCAACTATGAGTGGCAACAGGCAAGTCCTGTCTTGCAGGTGGAAGATACGATTCAGTAACTCGCAAAACAGCCATGAATGCACTGTGCTGTGTGAATGCTTCCACTGATTGGAAGTGATAAATGGCACATTTAATAAGAAAAACTTGGGACACCATAGCTGAATCGAATTCTCTTCTGATCATTTGATATGCATTCGTAGAACCAAGAGTCGAAAAATGGGACGTTTGGCTCTGGAAGGAAAGTCATGAGGTCACTCAAATCAAAAACATTATGCTTAATCCAAGACTATAGTGTATTGAGCACACTATCGCCACTCTGCCGTCACTCTTTGTTATTCTGCGAAATATTTACCATTGCCATCATATTTCCTTTCTCCCAGCATGGAACTGCGGTGGAGGCATTAAACCAGCAACAATACTTTTTGCAAGCAAAGCTGTTGGTGCAACACCCAGCTCCACAAGGCTGGGATGCGCTGCATTGCCCAGTCACGTAAAAATAATGTTTCCACGTATTGGAAATCATTGATTTCATTCATCCTTGCTTTTCAAATGAAAAATTTCACACTGAGTCATTTGCTTCAATGACTAATTGAGCTTGAAGTTGAAATGCTTTTGCTGTTGATCTGCTTTCATATGTTTTTGTTCATTTAAAACAATTAACCCAAGATGTGTTCCTGAGCAAAGTTGTTTTTTAAAGCCACCAGCCTTACTTACCCGTATTGATTTTAACTGGTACCACTAGCAAAGATGCTACAGATTGTCATAACCGTGGTCTTGTTTTAGTTCGATGTTGTCATACCGAGGTAGAACAGTTCATCTCACAGTGACATCTCTGATGTTACATAATTCATCACACAGCACTAGCTGAATGCAGCTGGACAGACCTGTGAAGTAAAGCAGGCCAGTATGGCCCACATATTGTGCAACTCGGTGTCCTTTGAGACATAACAGCACAGGTGTTTTCACTGTGTCTCCAGGAATAGAACACCTATTGTTACATGCACATACATTATAAGGCATGGGGTTCCTGCTAAGTAACCACTTTTATATAACCACTTTTATATCTAGTGTGCAAGAGAGCACACTAGAGAAGACAAATAAGAACGTACTCTTTAACTTTGTTTGCTTTTATATTTCATAGAGAACAGTGAGGCTACGGAAAAGACAATCCTATTCATATTCTGAAGGATTTCAAGGATTTTGATTATTAGCCATAATATCGTGACCATCCAAGATAGACTTACTATGAGCTACGATGGTATGTGCTCATACGTGTCGCTTCATGGTCTGTTCGCGGATTTCAAAATGGACCAACATGGCTGCGCGTTTGGAAACTTTGTCTTGTTTTACAAAAACAGTTTACAGAAATGTGTGCTGATGATGGACTGGTTACTTTGCATACAATGGCCTACTTTAGTCAAAAATGTGTACACTGGGCATGGGAGTGATTAAAATGCAGCACAGACTGACCCATATTCGAGAGAATTACTGCAAAAATAACCAACATTATTATTCAGTTTTTGTTACAAAATCATATAGTTTCCTTCTACGACCTGCTAGCAAATTTCTGAAAGCCTAGCACCAGTCCATAACCCAGGTTATGGGAGCCTCTGCAAGGGAAATACACAGTGCCTAACTACCATTTCATATCAGAATATTAAGATGTATTATGACTTTTGCCGTATCTAATGCATGCTGAAGCAAGAGCCGGATTGCAAGGTGTTCCTGAATCCACAAACCTGCCACAGGCAGAAAGGTAATTATCTTAATACTGTTTACTGCATTCACCACAGGAAATTACCCCTCTGAAGTGACTAATCCGTCTACTGCTCACGTGATGCATGTTGTCAGAAAAGACCGTTAAAAAAGGTATAAAAATTGTACCATTTTAATGAGCTGATAAGAGCATAACAATAGACAGATGAGATTCTCTCTCCAGTCTGGCAACTGCCAGCAGCTGTGACCACTGTAATGCAGAAAATGCACAAGGACAGTATTCATAGCTCATACGTCTTAAGGAGCCTTTTTCCATGTTCTATAGCCAAAGCTTTCATCCAGCATTATTGCCAACGCTCCTTCAGGACATGAAGAGAAAAAACGAGGATCTATACCAAGGCGTGACAAAAATGCATGACCTGTATGTGTCTGGACGTGCAAGGACTTCTTTACTTCTATATCATGTTCCTCCTGAGAAAAATTGCCCACTCATTCTCAAAGTGGATTATCACAGCAGTTTGGCAGAGTAGCTAAAGCTGAGTTTAAAACAATCAGAGTTTCAGATAGAGGGAGACTCGGGGCTCCTGGCTCTCAACACAGCAATAATTAAGAGCTAATTTCACTGAAATCCTTTTTTCTCTTTCTCAAACTTACTCTCACTTAATGTTCTCTGAATTTCCAATGAGCACTCTTCATAATATTTTCACAAAACTATTCCCTTTTAAAAATGCTAATGATTAATAGGGAGGTACATGTACTCTTAACAACGCTGGGGAATAGCAGCCAGTGGAACTGCCTGGACATTGGATTTATGGCAGTCTGCACACTCTCCCCTCCAGCATTCAGGTACGTACAAAATAATTGATGCAACTCTAGCTGTATTGGAGAAGGCTACCAAAAGTTTAGGGACATGTTTGAATCCAAACAGGGAATAAGACTTTTTGAGTGTATGAAGCACAGCGAGCAGCTAGTTGGCCGATCATTGTAAGATGGGAGGGCTGCACGAGCAATGCATGCCTGGGGACCGGTGACTGAATTCCGTGGGAATAGTGGTGGATGTTTTTTTCTGCGATAAACGACAATTTACTAGAGCTTTGTTATAACAGCAGTTCTTAAAGAAGTTCACATACATATGGTTGGTTAACAGTGTCTGCGCTGTATTGCCAAAATTAGTGCAGGTCATCACATCATGGACATAAAAAAAAGTTTAGAAATACTAAATGGAATTCAAAGACAGATTTGATTTTTCTTGAATAAAAATACTGCATTCATATCATTTCTTTCCATTTCTAAAAGGTGCTAATTCTACAAAACCAATATTTATATCTAGAGTCTCTCTATTCCCAAAGGTTTATTTGGTTGTTTATTTGGTTTTCAATCTGGATCTGGATCGTAAAAAAGCCTGTGTTTGATTAAGTGTGCTGTTTGAAAGTGGCACTGTCCAAAGAAAGAAGCACAAAATGAGTACCTGCTCTCCTTCAGTGAACACCCTGTTTTGGAAACTCCAGGAGATGGTGGGTGTGGGGTCGCCCGAGGCCTCACAGGTCAGGGTGACCTGTTCGTCAAACTCTGAGGCAGTCTGGTTATTCAGATAGGTAATCCTGGGTTTCACTAGAAACAAGACAAAAATGGCGAATGTGTTAGCAAACAATTGCCCATGTGGCCAGTTGATGAGTGGAAGTTGAATGTATTCTCCTTTTAGCTCTCTTTTGGTCTCTACCAATCCTTGAGGAAAATAAGCTATTAGAGGCTGAAGAACTTAGCAGAGCAGCTGCAGATTGGGCTGATACTTTGCTGTGGTTTCCAACACTATGGGTGACATCTTGCACATTTGATGCAATGTTGAAAATATGTACGAGTGCAGCTTTAAAAATAGCTGTTACATATTGTTAGCATTACTGTAGTCAAGTATACAGACAGGCTTCATTAGAGTTGTGGCTTCATACCCCATTGGCTGATAATAGAGCTGCAAGCACATGATTACATGAGGCGGGTGCAAATTTGCTCATGGAGAGAAACTCTAGTGTGATATCTTTCAATGTCCTAAGGGGTGGCTTAATTAGTTTTCAATAGGGCACGCTTTTGACTGTACGCTTCACGCTGTGTAACTTTGCACCGAGCCACTGGAACAGCTGTGGATAAGTGTACAGCACATGTCAATAAGTACAAAAGCAAAAGGCCAGAGAGAGAAAAAGAACCTCCGCCTCTGTTATGCTTTTGTAGGCGAATGGAGTTATTCTCTTACCGAACACGTTCAGGCTGACTTCCTCGGCTTTCTCTCCTGCCTTGTTCTTGGCGATGCAAGTGTAATCTCCTTCATCCACTTTCTTGACACTTTTTATTAACAATTCCGAGCCGTCGTCGCTCACGCTGTACTTATTACCCGTTTCAAGGACAACGTTGTTACTGTAGCAGAGGGAAAAAGAGGAAAAAGACATGGCAGGGTTCACATCACAAGTGTTTGCCTACACGACTGCAGGGGCCTACAAATAACTTCCTTAACTCGCTGACAATGATCTGCTTGGGATTTTATCTCAGGGAGAGAGCAGCTGGTATACAACAAAGGCTAGGAGACCAAAAAAGCTGCCCTGTGCTGTATGCCTCTGAGAAACTTCTCCAACACTTCCACAGCTTTTGTTTGCCTCAGCTCTCCTTTAGCCCTTTTATCTGTGTTTTTAAGAAGGCCATGCACCAATTTGATGATGATGCATGTTTCCTTCAGTTTCGAGAAAACCCTCTTTCACTCTTGAGAAGCAGAAGTCTTCACTGGAAGTTAAATGTCCTGTCTGTGTAAGTATTTGTATGCCTGGAGTAGCATCCTTCCTGAGGCATTTTGCAGGAAGACAGTGAATGACAAACAACAAACAAGCTTCCTTCACCCCTTTGTTTCTTCACTGCCTCACCCATCTGTCCTCTCTTCACCCTCGCTGTCTGTCTCAACTGTTCTCTGTTCTGGCCAGGAGCTTCATCCCCCTCAGCCTCAACACCCACATCACACTCCAGCCTTGCTGCATGGAAGACAGCTGTGAGCAGCATCTGGGTGTTCAATAGACTTATTCACTCACATGTCTGCAAATAAAAAACTTTATTCCTCTCACAGCGGTGTTGCTGTTGGTGCTGCTGCTGCTGCTGCGTGACACCATTAAATAATGCACCATGAATATGAAAGTATATTGAGCTAACAGCTGTATGATGGAAATAGATGTTGGTTATTTGTACCTATCAGAGCTTGAGAGGTGATCGAGTATCATTGATTCATACTGAATAAAGGTACTTGAGATATACTATACCAGCTAAAGATGAATCCATGCTAGAAAAGTCATTACTGGTCTCCTTGAAAGACCTGGTTACAAGGGATTATGTTGGAATGTCGAGTGTTAACTGCTATTTGACTATGTCACATACCGATTTAATCAACACTTTACATCTCAAATGTATACTGCTCATTCATGTTCAGGTTGTATTCACAGGTCGTGAAGATTAATTAGGCCACCAATAAAAACGGAAGAGTTTCAACCTTCTCTGCCAACAAAAGATGTTGAAAGATCACATTTCAATTCATGAATTTAAATATTAAGTTAAAAATAAATAAACAGGGACGTTGTAGTCGCATCAAGGGTTTCAGATCCAATTGCTCTTGCATAGACACCCAATAAAAACAAAGACGCTGCCCGTTTTCTCACGTTTGCTTAAATCTCGACCTTGTAACACCTACTGTATGTTATGGCTACGCCATGTTTAGACTAACAAGTCGCTGGTGCAACCAGGTGCAGATTCACTACAGGTTTGTGGACGTGTGAGCGCCACTCGAACTAGATCTAAATGGAATGCAGTTTAAATAGTGTGTGGGAAGTAATAATACTCATCAAAGCCTTTTTCCACTTGTTACAGTGTAAGTGCATGCATCGTATCATCTCTCCCACACAACTATTTGTATAAGCAAGGCCACGCAAATTGACAAATTCACATTTATGCCCTATTTACCAACACTTTACATCATCATCTCCCTGAAATTAATCTTGTGCTTTTGCAATTCTTTCAACGGGGAGCACAACCAGTAAGTCCAGCAAAGCTGCAAGAAGCAGGCGGCCGGGTGATTTAAAATGTCTTATATCTCAGACTTGATCAGAAGGCTTAATTTATAGAAGTGGCACAAAAGCTACCAGCCTCGATGGATTAGTGCTAAACCTGAGACATGCGTTTGTGCTTCCAGATGGTGTTGAAGTACCCATTCAAAGGGCTTGTTTAGAGCACAGCCAGATATGCATATATTTGAATGAGTGCAATGAAAGAAACTATGTTCTGAGTTTAAGGAAAGTTGAAATCTCCATCTGAATATTTTTTTGGTATGCTAATGCAGACAGGTGTGTGCTTAAATCGGCCATTGTGTTTGAGTTTCAGAAGAAGTAAAACAGTAGTTTATGTGGTCGTTCCGAAGTGCTGCCTTGAAATATTGCTGCATTCAGTCCACATAGACTGAGCTGACAAGTATCTTATTAAAGAAATGACTTTTGTGTTGTTAATAAGCCACTCTTTAACATAGCTGCATTGAATCAAACACTCTTATAGTGCATCCAGAATCCTGATGGTCACATAGTATCGTAACAGAACCCTGCAATGAACCGTTCCTGTCCTTGTATGTGCATCTTTATACATCAATGTCTGGTCTCTATATACATGTCCAACCTACAGTGACATTGTCACTGTGTCCAGCAGCTGGAGACAGAGGGCAGAGATAGCCCAACAACATCCCCGAAATTTTTTTTTCTAAATGCTATCATCCAAACTCGTCACATACTGACTGTTAGTCAAAACTTTTGGCTTCACTTTCAAACGCACTGGGTAGCCCAGCGTGTCAAACTATGACGCTCCACTACAATCACAGTAAACACGTAACTACATTCAAACTAAACACTCCATGACACTTTGAGACACTGACACCAGTCTCAAACAACGGTGTCCTGTGTTTGTTTTACTCATCCACCTCCCAACCAACAACAATCCCTAAAATGAATGAAAACCACGTGAACCTATGCAAAACTAAAAACCAGGGATTCATTTTTTTTTTTCTTTCTTTCTGCTGACAGCTCAGATCCACCAATGATCCCAATCATCAAAACAGGCCAGTGGAATAACATACTGTGCCCAGGTGACGGTGGGTTCAGGGAAGCCGTCCGCGTCGCAGGCCAGCAAAGCGGAGCGATCGCTGTCTGCAGTAGCGTTGACCTCTGACAGCCTGGCGCGGATGGTGGGGAGCACTGAAAGAGAGGTGACGAAAATAGAAAAGTAATGAGTACAAGTGTATACAAATCCTGAGCTGTTCTGAAGAGGCTCCATCTAGACATACAGTATACATTTCAACTAATGGCATTAAATTATGTTTTTAAACTCAATGTGACCATGGATGTGATTTCTTTGTTTTTTTTGGGGGGGGGGGGCTTATTACTGTACCTTTCTATGTTGAGCAACAGGACAGGCAGGAGCAGAAGGTGAAAGAGATGCAGACAGCGCTTACCGTTAACAACGACCTTGATCATCTTGAAATCTATTTCTCCCCTGGCCATGATACGGGCCTCACAGTTGTACATGCCCTCATCTATCTTCTTGATGCCGCGGATCTGCAGGTGGCCATTAACCATGATCTTGAATCGCACTAAAACAGAAATGGCAAAGAGAACAGTCATTTATCACATACAATTATGCAGATTACATTCACACAAAAAATAACCAATGTTCCCAGTATGGATATTTATGTATAAATGTTGTTGTTGCATCTTGAAAGATTCCATTCTTAAATGGAAATTATGTATGTAAGTTAAGCGATGAACTGGAGCACCATGTGTGTGTGCCATAGTTTAAGTTTATGAATTGTGTTTATTCCCTTCAATCTTGAAAATCTGACTGTGTGCATTGATTCAAGTAAAGGTTCAACAGGGACATAAAACTGAAATGCTTCACTTAGAAACTCAGACGGGAAGTTGGAGCCAGATTAAAAAAAAAAGTCCCAATTATCCCCGGTAATCAAGCAAGTGGTTGGAAGAACACAGAGAGCCTTGCGTGACACCCCGGCTACACCAGACGTACTTCAGCAGTGTTTTACACCGATCATAGAGCCTGACAATCTGTTGCACCTCTAATTAAACCAGCCATAAACACACAGTACCAGACTGAGCTGGTTAACACAAACCAGGTGTTTCTCACACGTTTCCTCCCGCACATTATTAAACTCCAGGGCTCTCTGACCGCATCTGATTTAAAAGCCTTAAGAGCTGAGTCATTTTTGTTGTTTGTTCTTTATGTGGCCCAATTTAGAGAACTAAAGCACTTCTCCACAATTGGTGACCGGCCAGTGTGCACTTTAAAACCGGCTTGATTAAAAATGTTGGCTATATGGGGTGTACTTGTTAAGCGTGGCTTTCATCAGGGCAATTTATTTCTTCTTTGGGGATGGGGGCTCCAATGCCCCCGGTTCAATTTGCCATGCTAGTACGAGCACTTCAGATTCTCCGGCTATCTAATAGAGAAGCCCACAGCGTGAACTAAAGAAAGAGTCTATGCTATAAAATCACTCTATGCATATCATTATATACCGAGTGCTCAAAAGACTGTTTGGCGTGGGATTGTGAACGTTTTTTCCCCGTCACGTTTGAGATTTGCGCACTTTATTGCACAAACAGTTCCAACTCCACTTTTGTCCTCATTCTGGAGCTCTCTGCCAGTCATGGAGGATAACTTAGTACATTAACCGAAATATTAAAATGCAATTATGAGTTAGGCTCACTTTACTTAGGTATTTCAATTTTATGTAACTTTTCACTTCTGCGTCACTCCGTATTTAACAGCTATAGTTTACTTAGCATTTCACATGTACAATATTTGATCAGCTTATAAAATGACACATTGTCATATATTTAACTAGCCAACATATAAAGTAGTTGAAAATAGCTCCAACCTGCAAACATTTAAATGCTGCTTATCCTTTATGTTAAAGCATCAGTAATACTACGGGCACATTTTGCATTATGAGTACTTTTACTCCTGATTACATTAGTATGGGACATGCAGCTGCGAATACTTTTCAATGCAGGTTTTACAAAAACATCTTTCACTGATTTCCACAATATTTTTGTCCGTTTCTTTGTCTGCATGCACATGTAAATAAGTGTAACAACCTCCATGCCTGAACTCAAGTTCAGCCAATATATTTCAAGTCAACCCATTTTTGAGGGCTAAGTGTGGTATTTAAACAGAAACATATGCTCTACATTTCATCGACCAGCTCTCAAGAGGTTTAACAATGCAACATGCAGCGTATGGTTAGGTCAACTGCTGTGAGGAATATTACATAAGCAGTTTTCAGTCTTCAGTGTTGGTTACAATTAGTGGTTTTTCCAGTGAAAAACACATTCCTTCACCAGACTCCAAGAATAAAGGCGGGCTAAGCACAACACTGTGGTGACTCCAGGCTCTCCAGCGGTCACCAAGGGAGGGGTTTACTCTAAGGTTAAAATAGGCCCAGTCCAAGTGTAAAAAATAATTCATCTCCACCTCAGTCCTTACACAGCAGATTGTAATTTTAGTTGAGCTCTCTGAGGTCAATGTTCTCTGCTGGCTGAAGTTGAAATCCTTCACAAAAACAACATGTTCATCCTTCACAATATGAACAGCGGTTACAATACTTTCTAATGTTGAGTCACGGCAGCGAAAATATTTAGAAATGTATCAGAATGTCCACAGAATCCACTCCCCGCAGCACCATTCACTTCTACAGTCTTTATTGTTATGTTCAGTGTTTCTCTATAACAGATACCTTGGTTCGGTTACACACCTCACAGCTCCAAAGCGTGTTTAATGGCGAAGCAACAACTGTGTAGAACAAAGGGATCAACTGTGGAGAGATGGATTATAATGCTTTGGACATGTGGTGTTTTTTGTTTTGTTTCGTCTTTCACCGCTGTGACTGCAACTTGTCATTGGAACACTTGACAAGGGCTGTAAATTCCAGCTGATTCCAGCTTCCGTCCACTGTCAGGGAGCACGATACAAAGTCCTTTCTAGCCTGAAGGCACTGAGTCTTTGATATACTCAAAAAAGATGTTCCTTTAATAGTACGGTTACATGAATGAGCAAACTTGGCAATCCTGCAATGAGGACAGGGCTGCACAAACTGTCCAAAAACCGTCTGCCATGTCTCTGCTCCTAAATCCTAATTTCTATTTCATCATGTGTTAAACTAGTAAGATTGAGTCAGGGGAAAACTGGTGAAAAACATATACTTTTAAACTTGTTAAACTTGCTGACCTGCATAACTTGGTAGGTCTAGACTGCATTGTCTTGTCTTGTCTTGTTGCAGACAGAAATGGTATTGTTAGTTCTTCTCTTACCCTTCCACTTTTCCCTTTTCTCTTCAGTTTTTCAGATTATTTCCGCCTCCAGAGTACTTCTCCCTCTATTTGGAGAACTTAAAGTCCAATCTGCCCTCATACATCCTTTCTACTGGCAATATCCACTTCATGCTGGGCCAAACAAATATAATTTCCATGTTCATGCGTCATCTGTGAGGTCTAAAACTTCCCCACTGAAAATGCTCATATTTGCTCATAGATGAGGGGCAGCAGGAAAAGGAGATGAGGAAGAGTGTGGCAAATTGATTGGAAAAGGCAAATTGGCAAATGGCATTGGTAGGAAGGTGAGGTGACTGCTCAGGGAGTCAGGTGGATGAGAAGGAATGGCAGGTCGGAGGTGAGAAAGTAGCTCAAGCATTGGAACATTTGTGTTTGGGCTGGCTCACCATCTTTGGCAACCTGGATCCTGGAGCCCTTATGCTTCCAAATGATGGCGGGTGGCGGCGAGCTGACCACATCGCAGACTATGTCAGCATCATCGCCTTCATTGAACTCCTGTGGGCTGGGAGCACTCTGGAAGGTGATCTTTTCTGTAGAGAGATTTGTGAGGGACAGACCGACACTTTTAAAAGGTGAAAACTTTCATGTGTCATATTAAGATTGCTTTCAAAAAATCGTGGCACCTAATGGTTGGTTCTGCTCCTCTTATTAATGAATAGTTTGGCTATTTAACCTGGAAGACTTGTTGTCTTGGATGACCAAGTATAACTTCATCTTTTGTTTACATTTGGCTTGGACGCCAACATTTCTTTAAAACTAAGGTATACAGCATATATAAGCAGTCTCCTGTAAATTCCTTTCATATTGTACTAAAACGTTTTGCTAAAAAGGAACTTTAACTGGAAAAAATACATTGACAGTGAATATAATCCATTGAACATATCTGTCAAGCAATTAGTAAAACACAAAGGTATTTTCCAGGAGAATTTTACAGTAATTGCTGTTTTTGTACTGCACAGAGGGAGCAGGTTGTTTCCAGTCTTTTCCTTCAATGTCAATGGTCTAATAAAAAAAAAAAATGTTTTCTCATAATTTAAATTAAAGACACATAATGCATGAGGCATTATATTTCAAAAATGTACTGCTGCACATTAGTATAAAACAGATGGGACTTACGGAAGATCTTCACTTGGACCGTGGCCTGGGCTTCCTTGTCCCCGTTCCTTGCCACACACTTGTAGATGCCGGCACTGTCCACGTTGGCGTGGTATATGGTGAGGGTCGACATGGTTTCATCGCCACGGCTCACAAAGATGTCTGGCCTGTTGGGGAGGATCTTCTCCCCGCTGGGGGTGTACCAGTCTATGTCTTTAGCATCTCCAACCACTGAAACACAAGAAAGTAAATGAGAGTGAGGCAAGAAGTACACAGCTGCCATTTAAATGGTAACCTCAAAATAAAGTGGATATCTGTTTTGCAGTTTTGCATTAGCTTAGCCTCCTTTTTTTGTCAGAGTGTATTATCTATACCTATTAGAATAAGGTAATCAGGTACAGCCCTAATGTATTACATCATAGATGTAAACTGTTTTACAAGTTTAGGCAAGACTCTGTGCTCGCTTGCTATACTGTGAGAAAACATAAACGGACTCAAAATGAAAGATGAAACAGGAATAGTCATTATAACTTCTATGAGTCACAAACGCTGATGAATCAAGAATTCTTTTGTGTGATGATGGCTTGAACACATTATTGTTAAAATCAAAACCCGTCTCATCTTTTCAAGACCAGACTAAATATGCTGACTAAAACATGAAAAAAGACTGGCATGAATTATTTCTATTTGCTCAGTAGAACAGAGGACTATTCAGCAGCAGGCCGCTTTTGCTAAAAGAAAAATCAAATAACGATCATTTTTTGAAAAAGGCATTATTTGATTCCCTGAAACATAATGTCAACACTACATGCATGTTGACATCCTTTTCAATGGGAGGATTGGATTTCAAGCTGAAGCCACACTCTTTTATAGAGCAATACAGAACATAGAAGAATAAATTGGTTGCGTAATACTTTATAGAATGCCCATGTCTACAGTGCATTATGATACATTATAATCTGTTTATAGCCCTGTATAAGAATAGTTAAAAACATTCATAAATATTCATAATTCTTAACAATCCCAACACATTATAAAGCATTTTATGATGACTTATAACGTCAAGTATCATAATTCTACATAATGGATGGTCACTCAATGATATATTTTGGCAAGAATCATAGTGCATTATGATTGTCATAGTTGTAATATCTTCACATAATGAAATTGAATCACTGTAATAATGCATTATCATGTGCATAAAGTTTTTGTCACTTTACTTAAAACAAACAACATACACTTCGGAGTAATTTATAATGACATTATAATGCATTGTACCAGTGATAATAATAATAAATTATAATGCAATATGATCCTTGCAACAAAAAAGCAATTGTGAAGTGTTATGATACTTGACCTTATAGGTCATTATTTAATTATTCACTCTGTGTTGTGATTATTGTTATAAAGTATTATAGGTATTTATGAGTGCTTATAACTAGAATTATACAGTGTTATAGGCAAATAGTAATGTATTATACGTATGTTTATTATGCATTATATACATGGGCGTCAATGTATATAAGACCATTGCAACTGGTCTTCTAGTGGGAGTCAAGTGGTTACCGCTTCAGTACACAGTTATTTATTTTTAAATGGTCAGTTCACCCAAACTAAAGAATCTTACTTTTATTGGTGGATAAGACCAAGTCTACCTGAATGGCTACATACTGTTTGGTTTCGTAATTTGGGTGAACTGAACCGTTATTGTGTAGGCTCTGCAGTTTTATAATAACTGTGACCTACTGACTGGCATGATTTTATTCATGTACCGAATAGTCTAAAATGTCAGACAGCTCACCCACCAAATGCAAATACCACCTGTAACTCAGGTCATCTGATAACTGCACATGTACATTCAACCGTGTAAGACCTGTCTCATTATCTCTTCAGACTGCATCTCTCTCCCACCTCTTTGAAGCCCTCCTCCTCCTCCCTGACTGTGATCATAACTTCCCTCTACCTCCTTTAGAAAAGACTGCTCAGTTCATTTATCCTTGTCTTTTTTTCAGCACCATCTTGTCTTTTGTCTTGTATGTCTTTAATACGTGACTTCTAATCAGAGTACATCCAAAACGACATCAGTCTCATTATTCAAACTGAATCACTGAGATCACTTTTATCAGATGATCTAAATTCATACTGCCGGTATTGTAAGACGAGGGGAGATCTGCAACAAGCTGTGTTAAATGAGGTATGTTTGAGATCACGCTTACCTTCGCAGAGGAAAAACTTGGACTCTCCTACGCTGATCTCTCCTTGTGTTGGAGTGATTTGCACCTGGATGGCAGCTGGGAAAAGAAAATACGACAGAGCAGAATATACATTGGTCTCTGGTTGCAGTGAGAGGAATGGTGACACGGGGGCAAAGCGCAATAAGGCAAGGCTCAAAATCTAATTGCTTTGCCATTGCCTCTGCATATACCCTCTATGAATGAAACTCCGGGATGAAATGTCTATGCTCACTAGAGTGCAACATCTCCATGTGCAGATGGGTCATGAGTCTAGATAGGGCAATGTTGAACTGTCTGGCTGTTCGACAGTTATTCACCTTTCCTGTCTCGACAAATGGAGTGAGCCGCAACCCATATTGATGAGCCAGGTTGTGCTGTAATGCTGGATTTGTCAGTAATTACAAGCCACGCTGGATTTGTTTTCACCTTGTGTGACTCTGTGTGTCTTTCGACAGATTTTGCCCCTAGAGTCACAACTGTGCAAGAGGTATTCACGCAACTTTACAGGTGTGTAGTTGAGATCAAAACTGAGGCCGGGTTTGAAGACGGGTGTGTGTGTGTGTGTGTTTCTGTTCTACAGTAACATTCTATCCTGAGGAACTTCATTTCAACTGTACAAGATGCCTCTCCAGTGCCAGAGATGACTGCACTCCATGGCCTTGTGATTCACTCATAAAAAGCTATAACTTTTGCTGCCAAGACTTCCAAGGTGCAAGCTGTTATAAACTCTTGATCCCGTGACTCTTGTGACAATCAATGTTCCGACACCTCACAATGTCAAAGGAAGTGAAAGCATGCAGTGGGCACCTCATGACAGATTGAAACTGGAGAAGAAGAAGGCTAGCGAATGCGTGGCATATTATATTGACAATAATTAAGTTCAGAAAAATTAGGTATTTCAAATTATGCAATTGTAATTAGTATGGGGTAAGATGATCTTCAGTCCTCAGAAGCGATCTTCAATATATTGGTAACACTATCTAAAGATTCATTTTTTCACTCAGTGTGTATATTAGCCACCTGACTGAGTCATTCCAGGGTGTTCTCGTTCTCCTTCAACCCATCTCTGCTTCTCCTGGCAGATGATTAAGAAGGCATAATGCCGTAAATCAAAGAATATCCTTTTCCTCACACTCTATTGCACTTCATCTCTCAGCATCAGCTAAAGCTGCTGTGACGCAGACAAACACCTGGTGTTTGTTCCTTACTGCGTGCTAACAAATTCAAATTCAAACTCTTGCATATTCAAAGGAAAAGTGTTACAACGCGTAATCATTTTCAAAGGCTTAATCAGGAAATCATCACTTGCACGTGTGCGTCAGAGTGACAGGACATGGAATTTTTTTATTTTTTTCATATGTGAAGCCATTTAATTTAAGTCTCTCTTCAGTGATGTGCAGCATGGGAGTGAAGCACAGGCCGCCGAGCAGAAACACTACTGAGTCGTGATCCGGAGCTTGACAGAGAAACCCTGCTGAGCCTCCAGCATGTCGCCACTTCACACAAATGAGTGAGTCAGTCTCAGCCCAATTCCCAGCAGGAGATCCATGGGAATGGTTTGCTAAGACCCGCCATTTAAAGGCAGGTAGCCAGCTATCATCACAGCACAGTGAGACGTTGGTGTTTCATGAAGCGTCAATTTTCATAGCCATAGAAACAGGTCCATGACTGAGAAGAGGCGGTCACAGCAGTGGCCTTTCGTTATTACGTTTTTCCCCCAGCACACTCCGTAATGTGACCAGGCACCACCGTTACTCTGTGAAGCTGAAACCTGGTGCATTCACAAACGGCACACAACAAGCTCTTTGAGTTCAGCGTGTCGCCATGTGTTTATGATGATGGGCAAATCGGAACGCTCATGGAAGATTCAGTCTCTCGCTCGTAGAAAAACGTTTTCATTCTGTGAGTACACACAAAGTACGCAGGCATGTGAGCATCACGGCGCTCTAAAGCAGAAACGGTCAACTAACTTCACAACCTGCGCTCCTGAGAGAAGACACAACTAAGACATGGCTGCTCACCAGGAAACCGTGAGCTTGCGTTAAGCAACAGGCAACAAATGATGTAAACTACCTGGTCGAGGATAGTCTCACATATTGATTTCAGTAAACTATTCAAAGTGAGAATAACATCTCCCCCCCCCCCCAATATGGCTTAGTCAAAAAGTTGTACAAATATTGATGTGCTGCCACATAAATGAACAGTCCTTTGTTCCAGGTTATGCAGGCTCTAGAGGCATGGAAAACCACTACCCACAGTCTGTTTGCTTTTACGGGCTGGAGGTAGATACAAAGAAAACAACATATCCATTCTCTTCCCTCATCCAGTGAGATCACAGATACCATGCTGCAAACCCGAGCCATGCCTCCTCAGACTGGGACAACTGGCCAGAAATCAACTGATCATATCTGCAACACTAAAGACAACAAAAAGGAGTTCAGGCGGTGTGGGAAAGATAGCTATTCCCAGAGCCATTTCCTCAGTGTATTGTCTCTAAATGGCCACTTGTGCAGTGTCTCCAGAATGAAGTGGTTGAGGAATCTCATGCGTCAAGCAAAAGTGTGAGCTTGTGTGTCTGCTGAGAGCATATTGTGAGTTGTAAAATCAAGGTGTAAAAACGTGAGAGGATGCCAGCTTTAATTACTGTAGAAATCTGAAACAACACTTGTTCTTCGTCAAAATCTTTGTTCTTCATCTGAACAGTGTTTTTTCAGATAAAGCCTTTCAAATCCTGTTTGGATAACTCTCTTGTCAAAAACATTCTCTCTTTAAACAGGGTTATTATTCAGCGATGGGCACATTCATATAAACTAGAGGTTTGATGCCACATTTCAACAAATTCTTAATCATATTCAGTGTTCATTACTTCATAAGAAACTTAATCCCTGCTCTATAGACCAAAAATGATTTCAATAAATGTGTGATATTCCTTGGTGCTCGCCCCAGAAATACAAGACAACACTATGAAGACATAAATGGAGTATTATTTTATTCTTTCTGACTGCCACAGACGGTGTTTATGAAATGCTTTAAGAAAGTGACAATGTGACTTGTAAAAATATTGAAATAGATTAGAGCTATCCATGAGAGCTTTCGATTTGGACTTTGGAAGACTCATTAAATATCTGTATCTATTATAATATGTATTTCTTTTGAGAGTTGTATGACTTGATGCTATAGAAAAATGGTCAGCAGTTATAGAAATTGTATAAAATGTGTTATATAAATATGATAAAATATATCAGTATCATCCTTTAAAGTTTTCATCAAATCACTGGAACTAACCTGGATTGTATAATATACAAAAAGCATAGGAAATTTGGGCGAAAGAGATGCAGATTAACAGAAGGGATAGAAAGAAGTGCTTGGCACGGTAAGGAGAGGGTTCAGGGATAAAGGATGAAACGGTCTGTGCCCCGACGTGTTCACTCGTGACCCCAATCTAATATCTCTCCACTAAGACTTTCAGTCCTCTCTTAAGTCTCCAGAAGACTTAGAAACAACAATAGAAGGATAGATTTTTTGGGGGCAGATCATTAAATCTAACCAGTTGGGACCATTCACCAAACTCACAATTACAGTAATGGGCCAACCACCAGCACAGTACTATTACCTTTTTAGATGAAAGCACTTCAGGATCCTGACATTCATTATGATGGAAGGTTAGTAGTATACATGTATGGCTAGTCTTAACCAAGGGGCTGACGTATTAAACATGACTGTCAGGAGAACTGTCTGTATATATTCAGGGACTTGCTTTAATATACTCACAAATTCATTACTAATTGAAGTAAAAACATTTGCTTTACCAAAGTATGTTAGTTTTAACCAATGTTTGTGTCCCTATGTCCCAAAAGTAACATACTTTTTCAACCCAAATCATGATCTTTTACTCAATCGAACCCAAACGTTTTGTTGCTCAAAAAAACTGCATAAGCACCACAAAGCACTATACGGGTTGATGTAAATGTAGAAATATTCATATCAAACGTGTTTTGAGTTCAGAAATGTTGATGTAAAACATATCTTTGTTTCAGACGACTATGAGATTCACCGCTCTTGACACACAGTCATGCTAACGAGCTGACTTGGACACAGTAGATCTATAGCCACAGTGTAGAGACCCCTGGGAAATTGGGGTTATCTGGTTCACACATTGTGCTTTAACTACAAATGACACATGACATCTATTGCACTTATGTCCATCCTGGGAGAGGGATCCCTCCTCTGTTGCTCTCCCTAAGGTTTCTTCCTCTTTTCTCCCCGTTAAAGGGGTTTTTTGGGGGAGTTTTTCCTGTTCCGATGTGAGGGTTCCGGGACAAGAGGATGTCAAATGTGTACATATTGTAAAGCCCCCTGAGGCTAATTTGTAATTTGTGATTTTGGGCTATACAAAAATAAATTGAATTGAATTGAATTAACTCGTTCACTGAGGATTTTGTCTGCACAGCAGCTTTGACTCTGACAAATGTTTGTATAAATAAAATTCCAATCTGCCTTCCTCGCACTTTAGACTTTCAGTGCCATGTCCCTCGTATTCCCAGCTTTTGAGAGGCAAACAACTGTATAACCAGAGATGAAAGTTTTCAGCATTATTATTTATTTATTTTCAGGAAAAAAAACTGATGAGTTGTTCTCTGAAACCATCCACAGAGGCAATTAGAGGCCACAGTAACCTAAGATACTACAAGTTATTTCACTGCATCCACATGGAAGACGGTATCCCACAGTGTTTACCTGCAGTTCCTCCTCACATGTACCGTTTGCTCTTTAATATCCCCTTACAAACCCTGTCTTCTAAAAACTACATACATAACTCATTTGCAACAGTGAATACCCACCGCATTTTAGAAATACCGAGGTACCAGTTCTAATCCCCTCAGGTGGTAATCTTTCTTTCCTTCAAATTTAAAGGAACATAATAAAAGAACATTTAAACTATACTGAAACTGCTTTGGATTAATACATTCACCGTAAACCTTAAATATGAATATGAGAGATACAAATAAAAACAATGAAACTGCAACCAGTTCATTTATTTGTTTGCCTATAAAGTC